GGGAAGCTGCGAGGCGCCGGGCTCTGGGGGAGATGCTGCACCCTGGGGTGCTGCAGGGGGGTGGGGGGGCTGCAGTGCTGCCCCCTCCCTGTGAGCTGCAGCAGCGCCTGCTGGAGCACCCCCCCCACTCTTTTTTTTTTTTCTTTCTTAGTGCATTTTAAAAAATGCAATGCAATGCATGATGGGGGGGGGGTGGAGCCCTGAGCTGGGTGGGGTGCTGCAGGGACCGAATCCTGCTTGGCAAGGGGTCTGCTCAGCGCCGCTGACCACGGGTCTCCTCATCTCCCCCCCCCCCGCCAGATCCTCCGCAATGGAAGAAGAAATCGCAGCGCTCGTCATCGACAATGGCTCCGGGATGTGCAAAGCTGGCTTTGCAGGAGACGACGCTCCTCGGGCCGTGTTCCCCTCCATCGTGGGGCGCCCCAGGCACCAGGTCAGTTGGGCGGAGACCAGCCCCGAGCGGCGCCGCGGAGCCGGTCCAGAGCCGCGGCCCTAACCTCGCCCCTCCCATGTTTGTCTCTTAAAGGGCGTCATGGTCGGCATGGGTCAGAAGGACAGCTACGTGGGCGACGAGGCCCAGAGCAAGAGAGGCATCCTGACCCTGAAGTACCCCATCGAGCACGGCATCGTCACCAACTGGGACGACATGGAGAAGATCTGGCACCACACCTTCTACAACGAGCTGCGCGTGGCCCCGGAGGAGCACCCCGTGCTGCTCACAGAAGCCCCCCTGAACCCCAAGGCCAACAGGGAGAAGATGACACAGGTAGGGGCTCCCCACGGGAGCAGCCGTCGGCGCCTCCATCCCTCGCGCAGCACAAGCCCTCTCCAATTTTATGGCATCTCCTTAAACTCGCCTTTTTCTTTCCCTGTTCCAGGGTTCTGTTCTCCTCCTGGCATTTCCTTCCTGAAGTCTCAGGTTTCTTTTTATTTGTGTATTTTCTGCCTGCGTTCTTTGCCTCCTTTTTTTTTTTCTTTTTTTCCCCTCCCCTTTCTCCACACATCCCACTCTTGCATGCCAGCATGATGTGTGATCTAATTTGGATTTGAGTGAACCAGCTTGGGATGAGGCTTCTTGTCACTGAAACCATGGTTTTCTTTCCCTTCCCCCTCATAGATCATGTTTGAGACCTTCAACACCCCAGCCATGTACGTTGCTATCCAGGCTGTGCTGTCCCTGTACGCCTCTGGTCGTACCACTGGTATTGTTATGGACTCTGGGGATGGTGTCACCCACACTGTGCCCATCTACGAGGGCTACGCTCTGCCCCACGCCATCCTGCGTCTGGACTTGGCTGGCCGGGACCTGACAGACTACCTCATGAAGATCCTGACAGAAAGAGGCTACAGCTTCACCACCACGGCCGAGAGGGAAATTGTGCGTGACATCAAGGAGAAGCTGTGCTACGTTGCCCTGGACTTTGAACAGGAGATGGCTACAGCTGCTTCCTCCTCCTCCCTGGAGAAGAGCTACGAGCTGCCCGATGGGCAGGTGATCACCATCGGCAATG